TCATGTTTTGGGGCCACTGGGTTGGGGCCCTGGTGGCCACTGCTGGCTCTGGGCTGGCAGGCTTGGAGCTGGCACAGGCACTGTGGCCAGGGGCTACCCCTTTAATGTCTCTGGGGCTGGGGAAGAGGAGAGGAGAGTAACCTTTCCTGGTTGTGCTTTTGTAATTGGCTAGCCATTCACAGGCTTTGTTTAATCCTAAACTGATAGTGTCAAATTTGCAGATGAATTGTAGCTCTGCAGTTTCTCTTTGAAGTCTGTTTTTAACGTTTTTTTGTTGCAGGATGGGCTACCTTTAAATTTGCTACTGTGTGTCCAGGGAGATTGAAGTGTTCTACAGGTTTTTGTAAAGCGTAGGTCCACAGTAACTTCCACTCTGGAACCAACCCCTGCAACAACCCTCGGTGCCAAATCTGCCTGCATGTCTACACCAACGACACCATCACAGGACCTAACCACGTCAGCCACACCATTATGGGCTAATTCACCTGCACATCGACCAATATAATATATGCCATCATGTGCCAGCAATGCCCCTCTGCCATCTACATCGGCCAAACTGGTTGTAAAAGAATAAACGGACACAGTCAGATATCAGGAATGGCAATACACAAAGGCTATGTCTAGACTACATCCCTTTTTCGGAAAAGGGATGTAAATTAGACGTGTCGCAATTGCTAATGAAGCGGGGATTTACATCTTTTAACCCTTATTTCATGAGGGATAAGGGATCTTTTGAAAAAGGCTTTATTTTTCAACAGATCAGCGTCTAGACTGGCGCTTTTCTCCAACAAAGCTCCGTGCCGAAAAAAAGCGGCAGCCATTTTTATGCTAATGAAGCGCGGGAGATTTAAATCCCCGCTTCATTAGCAATTCCGATACGTCTAATTTACATCCCTTTTCCGAAAAAGGGATGTAGTCTAGACGTAGCCAAAGTCTTTGGCCCTCTCCCCCTCGAGGCGCCCATGCCTCTGGTGGTGGGAGGAGACTTTGTGCGCTCCTCTTTCCCCCAGGCCAATCAGGCCTTGGGGGCGGGGGAGTGTGCAAAGTCTTCTCCCACTCTGCCAGGTGCGCATGGTGTTTCTAAGCACCGTGTGCTCCTGGCAGGGTGGACGAAACTTTATGCGCTTCCCCCCACTCTCAGGCCCTAATTGGCTTGGGTCTCCGCGGGCCAACCAGATCACTGTGCTGCTGAACAAAATATAAATGATATTGCAAAAGGCATTCACGGTGCAGCTGGATCCGTGCAGAAAGGTGTCTGTACCTACCCATGGCTCCAGGCTAGCTAAAACAGTACAGCTGCATCTAGACTGCATCTAGCAGTGCAGCTGCTTTTGTGGAAAAACTTGCCAGCTGTCTACACTGGCCGCTTGAATTTGTGCAAAAGCGCTGACGTTCTACTGTCCGAAATCAGTGCTTCTTGCGCAAATGCTTTGCCGTTCCCATTCAGGCAAAAGCCCTTTTCCGGAAATGTTTTTGCGCAAAAGGGCCAGTGTAGGCAGCTCAGGACTGTTTTGCGCAAAAAAAGCCCTGATCACGAAAATGGTGATTGGGGCTTTCTTGTGCAAAACCATGTCTAGATTGGCACGGACGCTTTTCCGCAAATGCTTTTAACGGAAAAACTTTTCCGTTAAAAGCATTTGCAGAAAATCATGGCAGTCTAGACATAGCCTACCAGCTTTTGTTAAAAAATAGTTTTTACTTTAAATATGGGTTCAGTTGTTTTTATTAAGGTGTATGTATCAGTCAGCCTGTGGAACTCCTTGCCAGAGGATGTTGTGAAGGCCAAGACTATAACAGGATTCAAGAAAGAGCTAAATAAATTCCTGGAGGATAGAGCCATCAATGGTTGTTGGCTAAGATGGGCAGGGATGGCGTCTTTAGCTTAAGTTTGGAAGCTGGAAACGGGTGACTGTCATAACCATGAGGGCTGGCCAGCAGCCTGTCCCCTGTGCCTAGCCAGATAACTGGTCAGCCAAAAATAACAAAGCAGGTCGGGATTTCAAACTGTACAAATGATTTTTTAAAACTTTTCCCTCCTTTGTCTGAGTCAGAGCAGTTTCTTCCAAGTAACAGGGAGATGGGGAGGCCTTTCCTCGGGTTTTATTGTTTTATGGTTTGGAGATGTGTAAATAATGTCTGTGCTGTTAAAAGTGGGGTTTTCCTCTCTTTTGTAACCAAGTCCTGAGCCCAGGGGATTCCCCTGTGTGTCTGGATTAATTGGTGGCTCTTTTCCAGCTAGTCACTATGCTGGCAACTATGGTTTTGTTTTAATAATAAAAGTTTTTTTTTTAATTAACCTGTTATTGGTTCATTTCTGTGCCCTGGAAAATCTGTCTGTGGATGTCTGCATGCCTCTGACGAGGGGACAGCTACCACAGACTGCAGCTTGTATTTTCTCTTTTCTTTTTCAAGCTCTTTGCGGAAAAGAGCTTGAGGTACCCCTGAGGTTTTTAGGGAGGTCTCCCAAGTGATCTCTTCCCTGGTTTTCTTGGAATACTAAGGTGGTGGCAGTGGATATTCCTCAAAATCCAGGTATTAGGATTACCTGTTCATACCTGTTCTGTTCATTTCTTTTGGGGCACCTAGCATTGGCCACTGTTGGAAGATAGGACTCCGGGCTAGGTGGACCTTAGGTCTGACCCAGTGTGGCCGTTCTTATGTTCAGTCTTGCTGAACTGCCAAGACAGAGAGACACTCAGGGTACGTCTACACTGTGGCACTATTTCGGGATACTTCCGGTACCTTGAAATAGCTATTCTGCATCTTTGAAACAAGCCGGTTATTTCAAAATATAATGGGCTCGCTATTCCAACGTCTCTGTACGCCTCGTTCCATGAGGATTAAGGGACGTTTCGGAATAGAGGTTTATTTCGAAATTTGGAGCTATGTAGACAGATTACAAAATGAAACTATTTTGAAATTAATTTGAAATAAGCTATGCAGTTTGTGTAACTCACATTAAATGAATGGAGATACAGCTGCTCCCTGAGTTACCACCACCTCCCCTTACAACCAAAGCAGTTGTAAATGTGGATCTAAGTTACAATCAGCAATCCATGCTTATGAACAGTGCAGTCACCATGAAACTCTATGGGATCCAAGTTACAAACACTTTTCTTGTTAGTCTTTAAAGTGCTACATAGTCCTGTATTTTGTTTCAGCTACACCAGACTAACACGGCTACATCTCTATCACTTTGAGTTATAGACCAAGTGTTGGTCTGAAAGTTGGGGAGTAGCTGTATACCCATCTCCTAGAATGGACCCTGAAAAGTAATGGAGTCCAGTCCCCTGCCTTCACAGCAAGACCAGATTTGCCTAACAGATTTGCCCTAGATCTACCCCAGCTGTTCTTGGGGGCAGAGCCACCGTGGCAGGTAGCTGCCCCACAACAGGAGCATCTGGGCAGCCACTACATGACCTTGTAGGGATAACATATTAATGTATTGAAAATGATTCCTCCAAATGGAAGTGACTCCCCATAATTTGTTCCCCACAACTTAGTGTTTAGATTTATTATTAATTCTTCTTCTTCTTATTATTATTATTTGTTAAGATTGTTAAATGTTTAGATTTATGATTATTATTGTCCCTTTAGAATATAATGTATTAGGTCATGTAACTTAGAACTGTTAAGAATATAATCCTATGTAGCCAGAAACAGCCCCCTCCCCCCCTCTGTGCTCCAGGGCATGCTCAAGCTTGTGCAAGGGGCTGCTTGAAATTGACATTGCAGAGATACATTGTAACAATGCATTGTCAAGCCACTAACTCTGCTATGGGAGCCAAGCCCTGTAATTGACTAAGGCCATTGTTACTTAATTGAGGCCTGTTCTCTTTAAAACATTGTAACTTTATTCAGCACTCAGAGAATGTTTTAAGCAATACCACCCAGAAACTTTCTGTAACTACAACTTTTATTATTATACAAAATACTGTATGAATGTATGAGAGAGTGCTTGGATGATGAGTGAATGGTTCTAAGAGGTGCCAGCCTGAGAATACAGCAACAAAGGGCTGAAGAAGGCGTCAGGTGCCAGTGCAACCAAAAGGTGTCAAGTGGAGAAACTGGAGGTCCACCCGATGAGATCACTGATGAGCACCTGGCAGCCACCCTGGAGACATCAGCATGATACAGCAATTTCCATAGACTGGCATAGGAAGAAATTCCTATAAGAACTGGACTAAAAAACTATGGAATCAGAGTCCAAGGTTCTGCTGCCAGCCTACCAGGAGCTTCAGATGCGCATCTGATCAGGACTTCGCTCCCCACTCCCATCACTTGTGTACAGAGTACCTGGCCAGTATTCTGTCACAAGCAACTTCCAGGCTGGTAACTATAACAATACACAGAACCTGAACGAATGGATGAATGAATGTTTATATGTATAAGGGTTAAGTAGTTAAACAACATTGTTTGCTTCTATCTTTTCTTTATTTTTTTTATTATTATCTTTACAATAAATGTGGCTTTTTACCTTCTCCCCCTCATAAGATCCTGCTTGCTTTTATTGGTACAACACCCTCCCCGCATTGTGTAGCTTATTTTGAGTGAAGGGTGCAGTGTAGACGCATCCTCAGATAAACAGATGACTGTCTCTTTCTCCGCCTGCTGGCCCAGTGGGATTATAATTGTCCCGGTCCTCATCTCCAGCCCCTTACTGCCCCCCTGTGGTCAACCTGCAGAGCCCCATCCTACATATAACTCTCCTTGCTCTCCCACCTCTCCCTTTCTGTTTGATGGGAAACAATTGCATTCCAGGCACATCCTGTTGTCCTGGCACAACCAAACCTTGAACTGGCTTTAAGTTATGATCAGAGGAAGCTGCCCACCCAATTTGGTGGTCCTAGCTCTTACCCATTTAGGAAGAATTCTTGAACAGACTCATAGACAGACAGAGACAGACGTACATTTCTAAAATATATAATAAGATATTATGATGTGCTCTTTGGTGTTATATACATTTTTTCCCCTCTCTGCTTGTATTTTTTTCATTTCAGAAAGATGCAGCATACCAGAGGAGGTCAACAATGCAGAAATTAAAGTCAACAATAATAATTTATTGAATGCCACACTGCGGTACAGATGCAAAGATGGTTACAAAAGGAAAGCAGGAACATCCAGTCTCATTTTGTGTCAAAAAGACAGTATCACCAACATGCTCCATTGGACACAGCCAAATATAATATGTATTCGTAAGTAACGGCTGCCGGGGGGTACAGCACAGCTTTGCTCAGTGCTAGTCCCAGGCCTGCTGCAGGGAGGGGGGAAGGGGCAACTCCCAGTGTTCCCCGTGTATGTGTGCTGCACCTCAGGAGAGATTCAAATGCTGCCCCGTTGATTAGCAAAGCACCCACAGCTACAACAAACTATAGGGAATTCAGTGTCCGAAAATGACGTGCCGGGGCAGAGAGAAGTGACTATCGGTTAGATGAAAATGATCATTACGTACTTGAGCTGCTTTGGGATGATGTGGGGTCCAGATGATCCCTGACGTGGAGTTATATGTGGCTGAGCCCACGTATACCACGGCCCATTGTGTTCAGCATGGCCAAATTCTGCAGCAGGGGGCCCGTTGACATCAAAAGTCCTACTGCTGTCAGGGAACCACTACGTGGCCTGGGCAGGCTTTGCCCTCTGAAAGGAGATGTTTATACAAGGTAAAAGGTTCCCAGAGTGTTGTGCTTGGGGCACTCGGAGCGATCCAGCACAGGGTTAGGATTTACCATGAAAACCAATGCACTGGCCCTTCGGCTTCGGTCTAGGAATGCACCTGGCCAATTGCGGGGTGCTGCGGGAAACCCACTGCTGGTGTGTCAGACACCTGAACAACTGGACTCCATCTGAGAGGCCGGGGCATCCCTGTTCTACACCTCTCCAAACAGTTGCTGTGTCCCCCGAAGTTCCTTAAAACTCAGCTAGGCCCCCGTGTAAAGCTGACTGGAGATACAGGGAGTCTTTTCCTGGACTTGATGGAGCCCCACACTTCAAAGGAGGGGGGGGGTCAGTGCCTTTCATGTCAGACTTAATGGCAGCTCGATTTTTAGACGGAGATACGGGGCGGATGAGTCAAAGATAAATTCTTTGAGTGGAGCACCCTGACCCAGAAGAACGGTGGCTGGAGACCCAGCCTGGATCTACGACAAATTCGTAATGTCCCTAAAGTTCATGATGGCTCCAATGAGGACAATACTCCCAGCACTGGACTGGTTTTCATCCCTCAACCTACAAGACTCATATTTTCACACGCCCATTCGCCCGGCTCACAGGAAATTCCTACCAGTCACGGTAGGACAAGAACACTAACCTTCAGCAGAACCAGCCCACAACATTTTGGTACCTGAGGCGGGGAGCTCAAAAGACACCCCCAGGTCTCCTCGCTTAGGCCAAAAGTTTGAAAGGTCTTTCGTGCCCTCCTTCTTCCAGCACAGCACTCCACCTTCTCTGTGCATCTAGAGCAGAGAGAATACACATGCACCAGCAGCAGACACAATTTTCTACACTCCGGGTCCTCCCGAGCCTGCTGCCTCAGTTTGCCTTATGGTAGGGCCAGCCCTGCCCTTCAGCCTGTGTACTGCACCAATGGTCTTCCCCAAAAACTTAGCAGTGGTAGCAGCACATCTATGGAAGCAAGGGATCGTGTTTTCCCTAGCTATACATGTGCTTAATCAAAGGCCCAATCCGTTGAGACATGAGAAACGTGGTCCGAACCACAATCATGCTGTTCCACTCACTAGGACTATAAATAAATGGACCCAAATCTACTGCAATCCCAATACAACAACTGGACTTTATCTGGGCACATCTCAACACCATAGATGTCAAAACATTGTTACCCCGGACCAGATTCAGAAACCTCAAGGACTTCATCTCAAAATACAAACCAGTCACCTAGGCTGTGTCTAGACTGGCCAGTTTTTCCAGAAAATCAGCCACTTTTCCGGAAACACTTGCCAGCTGTCTACACTGGCCGCTTGAATTTCCGCAAAAGCACTGACGATCTCATGTAAGATTGTCAGTGTTTTTGCGGAAATACTATGCTGCTCCCATTCGGGCAAAAGTCCTTTTGCGCAAAAGTTTTGCGCAAAAGGGCCAATGTAGACAGCCCAGATTTGTTTTCCGCAAAAAAGCCCCGATCGTGAAAATGGCACGGACGCTTTTTTCTAGATTTTTTCTAGATTGGCACGGACGCTTTTCCGCAAAAGCACTTTTCCATTAAAAGCATTTCTGGAAAATCATGCCAGTCTAGATGTAGCCCTAGCATACATCTACACTGCACAGCTATTTTGAAATAAGCTATTCCAGAATTGTTATTCCAGAATAGCTTCTTTTGAAATAGAGTGTCTCCACTAAAGGGAAGCCTCAAAATTAGTCTGAGTAAGGCTTCCCTAATGTAGACGTGCTATATCGATTTAGAGCCCCAAGAGGCACTGGGGAGGAATAACTTAGAATGGCCCTGGGAAGGGATATTTCGAAATAGCGGCAGTGAAGCATCTGTCTACACACACCTTATTTTCGAAATAGTATTTTGGAGTAGGCGTTATTCCTTGTACAATGAGGTTTACCGAAGTTGAAATAAGCCGTCCGTTATTTCAAAATGATTTTGAAATAACGGAATGGCTGTGTAGACGCTTGCAGTGTTATCTCGAAATAACGGTGCAGTGTGGACGCACCCCGAAAGTGGAGCAACCACAGGGTCTCCACTCACAAGAAAGAGAGGTTCCTCAGCTTGTGCTGTAACTTGTACCTTTGAGATATAGGTCCCTGCGGGTGCTCCGCTACCTGCCCTCTTCTTTGGCGTTCACAGGAGTGGTAGAGAAGGACCTAGAGGGTTCAGGTCGTGCGTGCTACTTGTGACACTGTTCATGTCATGCGACTCCTACTGTGCAGACACTGCTACCTTAAGACAGCGCCGGGGTGCATACCCCCTGAAGTGGAATGCCCCCCAGGGGCCTACGTTTTGGAGAACTCCAGTTCCTGCACAAGCTGAGTAACTCGGGGTACGTCTACACTACGGCGCTAATTCGAACTAACTTAGTTTGAATTAGTTAATTCGAACTCAGCTAATTCGAACTAACGCGTCTAGAACTAAAAGCTAGTTTGAATTAGCGTTTTGCTAATTCGAACTAGCATGTCCACATTAAGTGGACCCTGAACCGGGCTTAAGGATGGCCGGAAGCAGTGCCGGCAGGGCATCAGAGGAGGACTTAGAGCGGGGAGATGCTGTCTCAGGCTAGCCGAGGGCTGCACTTAAAGGGTCCCGACCCCCACCCCAGACAGACAGTTCT